CAGGCACGCGCGCACACACACACACACACACACACACACACACACACACACACACACACTCACTCACTCACACACATGAATAGTTAAGCTGCAGTAGAGAACTCCATCATACAACTAAATGCTTACATTTTCTGAAGAATATGCCACAATTTTAGATTGTTGTGAGTGACTGCCAGAGTGTTGCTACGCTGTTGCTAAGGTGTCTGGAGTAGCACATTGCTGCTGTGTGGTAGTTAAGAGTTTTCTGGGAGGATGTTAAAGCATTGCTAGGTGCTTGCTGGATGATTGAACTTGCAACATTTCTAATATTCCGGTGCCTACACTGTAAAAAATGTTTGTAAATTTTAATTACCACATGTAAAAAAAACTTTTAATATTACATTTGATGTCATTTTGCTGTAAATACTGTCAAATACATGGGTTTTGCCAATAAAAATTATGTACTAATAATATAATATAATTTACAGTGAAAACAATAAAATGACATTTCTAGAAGTCCCTGTGTGATGACATGAATATATTTTCTTTAAATAGTTTTGCTTCTTCTTATTTTTGTTAGCAGTAATGTGCATTTGGTGTTTTCTGTTACATTAACTGTTAATTGGTTCATGTTTATGCATTATTTTAGTGATGTGTTTTACCCTAATGGTGTTTTATCTTTGTGTTTGACCATGTCTATATAAATATTGGCCATGTTTTATAGGCAGGCCTAACTGTAAATCATCATATGGCTTAATATTTTACCACCTATATTATTATGGCTGTTATCAGTACATTTTAAGGTAAAAAGCAGATTTTGATAGTAGATTGATATTTGACATTATATTAATTCTTGAAATACACAGGCACCAATATGCCATCCTTTATAAACATTGTCAGTTTTGATAGTGAATTTTAGGCTGCCATTTTTTTTACTGTAAATTTGACAGGATATCTGTTAAAGTGTAGATATGGCTTGAAACCACACACTTTTTCATCATCTGCCAAACAAATCACGAGTCAGATTACTTATTAATAATAAATAATAATAATAAAGAAGCAATTTATTCTTTTGGCAACTTCTGTCAAGTTGTGCATTTTATGCAACAACTAATTCTGTGTCATGGTATGAGAGCTTATCGTACCATATTATATATTGATATGTACTAAACACTAAAGGCATTAGATGGCCTAGTCAATAATGCAAGCAAAGGAGGCAATTCCATGCCTGCCCCCTGACATCCAGTTTGCCATTCATTCAGCTCAGCCATAACACACGCACTGAAGTGAACACGCACGCACTCAGTATTAAAGCGGCTGTCAGTGGGAACTTATGAATCTTTAAAGAAGCCATAAAACATCAGACAGCACAGAATAACCCAGTACTGCCCTAAGCTGCCACCCAACAGGTGGTGCTACACACATACACGCCACTTCCACCTGTCTCACCTGTATTTCATGCTACTGTGTCGTCCAATAGCCTCCTTCATGTGGGCGTGGCCTTGAGGCAGGGGTCGGGACCCCACCACGTCCCGTGTTTTGACCGAGCTCTGAGGGGCGTAGTTGCCATTTCCGCCCTGTCCGCTCCCTCTTTCTCCTCCACCTCCACCTCCTCCTCCTCCGCTGCTGCTGCCCCCTGGTGGAGGGGCAGTTCGCAGGCCGCACAGCCGGTCCTCGCTGCGGCTCTTCAGATTGTGCTCCGTACAAGCGAATGAGACCTGCATCCTGACCCGCTCTCACACACTTGTGACACTTGTGTGTTTGAGTTTATTAGACTGAATCACTTTTGGTGTGGAAACAACGAAGATGTTTATGGGAGTGCCTGATAGATAGATAGATAGATAGATAGATAGATAGATGCACAGGGTAAACCTGCGCTCAAGTCAGGTCTTGCACCTGCTGGCACCAACTTGCAGCTGTTGCCAGGAGGGCGCGCCTCCAAACGCAACCCTGACGCGGTGGGGTGCGTGTTTATGTCGCCAGGCAAAAAGTCACGACTGGCTGCTGTCCAGGCCTTTAGTGTGCCGCAGCGTGCACAGTCTGTCTATGCAGTCGCCCACTGCACTTCTCCAATACCTGGATCGACGCAACTTGAAGGCGCTCCTCTCCGTGTTGAGGCATTCCTCTGCAGAATCCGGGTGGTCTCTCTGTATGAGGCGGGGGACCTCCTCAAAATGCGGAACCACCCATCCACACCGGGTTTCCACCGACGGGATGCGCAACAGCCGGCGCCACTTCACCTAAATGGCACTGAAGCTCAGCTACGCGGTGGTCGAACGCGACTGCAGCTTGTGTTCAGGCGCGCCTGGCCATCTCCTCGTCTACAGTCGTATGAACACAAATTCACGCACACAATCACTCTTTCACGCGCTAAGTGGTGATGGTCACTATCTGACACACAGCGCAACCTCACGCGTTCGACACACGGCAGCAAATGTCGCGCTGTTTTTCTGGCGCGTAATTATTGCCATAGTGATCATCGCACGCGATCAAAAGAGAGTTTGACAGCTCCGCAGTGTCCATATTCCATCGTCAGATCTGACACCTAGGAGGAGTCTCTCCACAGTCTGTCCCAAAAGTCAAGTTCACATGACCACAAGAACCACACAGGAAGTGAGCGTCTGTCCAACATGGAAAATGGCCAAGCAGAGTTTGCTTTAGGTCCAGGTAGATCCAATAGAGTGATGTGCAGCAAAGTGGAAACTCATTTAAATAATGGCTCAGCAATCTGAGAAAGGGCTGTGAACGATCCGTGGGTGTGAGTCTGAGGCTGAGATTAGCACAACACACGCTCACACAAACATATTTCACAGTGGAGCAAACATATTCAATGAGAAGAAATGTGATGTTGTACTGGATTTTATCCACCCAGAATTGATTAGATCATGAAAAGTGGGCATCCTGACCCGCTCTCACACACTTGTGACACTTGTGTGTTTGAGTTTATTAGACTGAATCACTTTTGGTGTGGAAACAACGAAGATGTTTATGGGAGTGCCTGATAGATAGATAGATAGATAGATAGATAGATGCACAGGGTAAACCTGCGCTCAAGTCAGGTCTTGCACCTGCTGGCACCAACTTGCAGCTGTTGCCAGGAGGGCGCGCCTCCAAACGCAACCCTGACGCGGTGGGGTGCGTGTTTATGTCGCCAGGCAAAAAGTCACGACTGGCTGCTGTCCAGGCCTTTAGTGTGCCGCAGCGTGCACAGTCTGTCTATGCAGTCGCCCACTGCACTTCTCCAATACCCCGATCGACGCAACTTGAAGACGCTCCTCTCCGTGTTGAGGCATTCCTCTGCAGAATCCGGGTGGTCTCTCTGTGCGAGGCGGGGGACCTCCTCAAAATGCGGAACCACCCATCCACACCGGGTTTCCACTGACGGGATGCGCAACAGCCGGTGCTGCTTCACCTAATGGCACTGAAGCCCAGCTACGCGGCGGTCGAACGCGACTGCAGGGACTCGCGTATGCGTGCACGCTTGTATTCACGCGCGCCTGGCCATCTCCTCGTCTACAGTCGTATGAACACAAATTCACGATGGAGATGTGAAGGGAATCGTGCATCCGTTCAGAGCGACAGAGCCATCAAACGCGAGACTGCCAACTCAGAACCCAATGAAACCTTCTGTGATCTCTCTCTCTCTCTCTCTCTCTCTCTCTCTCTCTCTCTCTCTCTCTCTCTTCTTTTCGGATTTCCATTGTGATTAATGTGTGAATTTAGCAGGGCCACTGCGGAATAATCACGTTATTGTTTGGGTTAGGGCTAGACACACACACATAAACACTCACACACACAATATTTTTAATTCCTCTGTTGCTTAAATATATGCATAGGCAGCAAAGCAAAAAGGTTCCAAAGGTTGAAAATGACATACAAATAAAAAATGTAAAAATCTGTACATTTCCCTATACAGGTAGACCAAAACAGGAGTTTCCGAATCAGGAATCTGCCATTCAGACTCTCAGTCAAAATTCTTCTAATATAATGCTACATTTTTACTGATAACACTGCAGGCCTATATTAGATTTTAGCAAATGCATCACTTTATTTTCCAACCAATAACAGACCAAAATTTATCAAATAAAACTGAAATATGTATATACAATATATCCAACATTTTATATTTTTAAAGAAATTTGTATATTTTTACATATCGACCCACAGACCTTCTGCAGTACATTTAAAACTGAAAGTAGAATATTATCCAACTATCTTCAAATTGACTAAAACAAACAAAAAAAAAACCCACATATAGTTCCATTAACTAGGTGATTTTTTGTTGTTGTTGTTTCATTTTTAAAATCCACAACATTTTTTCCATAAAATATTTAATATACATTGGGAAATATTTTACAATCTCTGGACACAATCAAACTTCAAACACAAAACATGCGAATGAGAGGGCAAGGGAAATATTTAAATCGCATTAAATTAAAATTTAGTGACAGATCTTTTTCTCCATATCACACATACAAGTGTAACAGATTATCAAAAAAAGAAAAAAAACATTTAGGATGGGGACTTGGTTCTGTGCATTGGTTGTTGACTGGATGTTGCAACGTGGGTGTTGTAGTCAGACAGATGAGCTTGCAGGGATGCTGTAAGAGTGGAAAAATAACTGGAGATGTCCTGCATGAGAGAAGTCTGACATTTCACCAGAAGGCCCAGTAATGACATTTTGATTAAACATTACAAGGTCAAAAAAAAAATTAAGCATATGCATGGTTGAAATGTTCACATTAACATCTATAATATGCACTTTGAATATAGATTTTAGAGAATTTCCATTTCATACCTACTTTAAGATGCCATTATAAACACAAACATGCAAACAATCAAAATACTTAAACACAAAATCTAACTCACACACACTTTGAACCAAACTGCAAGAACATGTACTGTAACCCTGCTGACACAAATGTGACCCTGGACCACAAAACCAGTCATAAGGGTCAATTTTCGAAATTTTAAACCAATTTAAACCAATTTTCGAAATTATACACCATCTCAAAGCTGAATAAATTAGCTTTCCATTGATGTATGGTTTGTTATAGGACAATATTTGACCGAGATACAACTAATTGAAAATCTGGAATCTGAGGGTTCAAAATAATCTAAATATTGAGAAAATCACCTTTAAAGTTGTCCAAATGAAGTTCTTAGCAATGCATGTTACTAATCAAAAATTAAGTTTTGATATATTTACTGTAGGAAATTTACAAAATATCTTCATGGAACATGATCTTTACTTAACATCCTAATGATTTTTGGCATAAAAGAAAAATCAATAATTTTGACCCATACAATGTATTTTTGGCTATTGCTACAAATATACCCAAGCGACTTAAGACTGGTTTTGTGGTCCAGGGTTACAAATATGAATAACTAAAACATGTTCTTGGCTCTCCTCACAAACTGCTTAAGAAGACCAAAGGGAGTTTTTAGAGCCAGATGGTTGTGCTTCTGTTTCTGATGGATGCTGCTGTTGTAACATCTGCACTGAACCAACTCTCTGACCACAGGTACAGGAGACAAAACCTCAAAATCATTCATACCAAAGCATCCCGAATAATGCTGAATCCATTTGAAACTTCAGTTGTTTAAGGAGACATGTAAGCATTCCTACATTCTAAATCGTGGGAGTTTATATGTCGTTCAACTAACTGTTCAAATGGACCAACATTTGTACACTGTCATGCAGCTATAGCATGTTTTTCAAAGCTGTACTCAGTACATCAGGGCGCACAGAGACTGCTGCCAACCAATCAGAGCGAGGCAGTGCAGAGGAGGCAGCCAGTGACAGCGCAGCTGTGCTGTGTAGTGAACATGGGGGGAATAGAACAAATCTGCTCTCATCAGAGAACATCTGCATGCAATTCGGTACATCAGGGCGCACAGAGACTGCTGCCAACCAATCAGAGCGAGGCAGTGACAGCGCAGCTGTGCTGTGTAGTGAACATGGGGGGAATAGAACAAATCTGCTCTCATCAGAGAACATCTGCATGCAGTCCAGAGCCAGAGAGAGAGAGAGAGAGAGAGAGAGAGAGAGAGAGAGAGAGAGAGAGAGAGAGAGAGAGAGAGTCTTGTTATGGCAATGCTGAATTTTCAGCATCATTACTCCAGTCTTCATTGTCAAATGATCCTACAGAAATCATTCTAATATGCTTATTTGCTCAAGAAACATTTATTATTATTATTATTATTAATGTTGAAAACAACGTTGTTCTGCTTAATATTTTTGTGGAAACCATTATACTTTTTTTCAGGATTCTTTGCTAAAAAGAAAGTTCAAAAGAACAGCATTTATTTAAAATTGGAATCGGAAACTTTTGTAAAATTATAATTGTCTTTACTGTCACTTTTGTTCAGTTGAATGCATCCTTGCATTTAATTGATAAAAACTTGAATAAAACTATTCATTTATTTAAAAGTCTTATTGTCACGATAATATATTTTACACAATAGTGTGTATTGTTTATATTATGTGTGTAGGGAAAGATTTGTAATACCAATTGTAATACCAGTACCCATTCTATTCTCATATACACTCACCAGCCGCTTTATTATTATCAGGTTGGACCCGTTATTGCCCTAAGAACTGCCATAATTCTTCATGGCATAGATTCAACAAGGTGCTGAAAACATTCCTGAGAAATTTTGGTCCATAGTGACATGATAGCATCATGCAGTTGCTGCAGATTTGTTGGCTGCACATCCATGAAGCATATCATCCATTCCACCACATCCCAAAAAACTCCACTGGATTGAGATCTGGTCACTGTTGAGGCCATAAGAGTATAGTGAACTCTTTGTTATGATCAAGAAACCAGTTTGAGATGATTTGATATAGTGTGTTATCTTGCTGAAAGTAGCCATCACAAGATGGGTACACTGTAGTCATAAAGGGATTGACATGGTCAGCAACAATACTCAGGTAAGCTCTCACTGGATATTTCCATTCTTTGTTTATGCATAAAAATACAAATATATTAGCAGTTTCTGAAATACTTAGCACAGCTTGTCTGGCACCAAAACCATACCACGTTAAAAGTCACTTAAGTCACCTTTCTTTCTT